AGGAGGTGCAGAGTGGTAGCGCCCCTGCTGTGCTGCCGTGCGGCCTCCACCTCCCCCCCGGCCTGCCCCCGCCGCACACACCGCAGGAGTATGCTGCCAAGACGTCTGCGGGGGAGGCGGTGCAGTGCCTGGCGTGCCAGGGCAAGCGCGTGCGCGCGCCCAGCCAGGCCGCCATCAACGCCGCCATCCTGGCGGCGCAGCGTGCGGCCGGCATCGCTCCCTCCGCCGGCCTGGCCGACGATGAGGATGAGGAGGAGGATGATGATGATGAGGAGGAGAGCAGCAGCAGCAGCGACAGCGACAGCGAGGAGGAGGCGGGCAAGCCAGCCAAGGCGGCGGCGGCGGCGGCGGCGGCGGCGGGAGGCGGCGGCAAGGCGGCCGGTGCGCCGCCGCCCGGCCCGCTGCCCGCCAGGGTGCTGTCTCCCGAGGAGGCTGTGCTGGGGGAGCTGGCCAAGGCTGCGGGGGTCAGCATCCACACGCAGACCAGCTGGCTGGACGCCGCCACCAGGGTGCTCACAAAGGTGCGGCGGCGCCGAGGGTGGTGGGCGGCGGCAGGGCCCGGCCGTGCAGGCCTGGCTGTTCTTCGCCGGCCGGAGGCCCCTGCCGCTGGCGCTGCCGGCGGCACGCGCTCCCCCCCGCCGCGTGCCGCACCGCTTCACCTCTGCATCATCAGCGCAGAGGCAGCGGCGGCGCAGCGCCGCCGCGCTCGGCACCCCGTGCCCTCTCCAGCTCAGGCTGTGCCGCCCCATACCCGCCCTGCCACCCCCCCACAAAACCCGCAGGTTCTGCGCCTGGAGTGCGTGGCTGAGTTCCGCTCCCCCGTGGACCTGGCCTCCTTCCCCGACTACACAGAGGATGTGGAGCGGCCGATGGACCTGGGCACGGTCAAGGTGGGTGCGGGGTTGGAACAGAATGGTGGTGGTGGCGGTGGTGGCTGCGGTGGTGGTGGTGGTGGCGGTGGTGGTGGCTGCGGTGGTGGCGGCGGTGGTGGTGATGGCGTGGGGGCAGGAAAAGGAAGTTGGCAGCAGGAGGAGGAGGAGGAGAGGGCGTGGGGGCAGCCGGCGGCACACCTGCGCTCTGCCCTGCCGGCTGTGCTCCGCCCCGCGGCCCCACGCCGCACCACCAGACACGCGCCCCCCCACCCCACCCCACTCCGCGCCGCCCCCGCCCCCGCACCCTGCAGTCCAACCTGCACGGCGGGCGGTACGGCGGTCCCGCGGACCTGCTGGCTGACGTGGCGCTGGTGTGGGGCAACTGCCGCCGCTACAACGACCCCGACTCCGACATCGTGGCAGACTGCGGCGACGCGCAGCGCGCCTTTGAGGCGGCCTGGGCCTGGGAGGGCCTGCCCACAGACGCCGCCGCCTACCAGCCCGAGCACGCGGCAGAGCTGCGGCAGCAGGCCGCCGCCCGCCTGGCGACCATGCCTCCCGAGCAGCGCGCGGCCATGGGCGCGGCGCTGGCGGGCGCGCCGCCGCCGCCGCCGCCGCCGCCGCCGCCCAGGGCGGGCCAGGCGGCGGCGGGCGGCGCCAAGCCGTCGGGCGGCGGCGGGGCCAGGCCCTCTGGGGGCGGCGCCGCTGCGGGCGCCGCCAAGCCGCCGCTCAAGCGCAAGCTGCCGGAGGCGGTCAGTGGCGGCGCGGGCGGCGGCGCTGCGCCTCGCCCGGCGCCGCCATCAAAGCGCGGCAAGGGCGTGGCGGAGGGCGACTGGACGCAGCGGGCCTTGCAGGTGGGTGGGCGCGGCGCCGGCTGGCTGGCCGGCTGGCTGGCGGGAGCGTGCTTGTGGGTGGGTGCTGGGGGCGCGCCGGCTCCTGTGGCCGCCCTTGAAGCCCAGCAGGCAACCCGCGCCGCCTCCCTGCTGCCCCCGCTGCTGCCTGGCGCAGGCGCTGGCGCGGCTGATGCAGCTGGAGGCATCTGAGCCCTTCCACGAGCCGGTGTGTGTGTGTGTGTGTGTGTGTGTTAGGGGTAGTGGCCGCGGGCGGCCTTGGGCGGAGCCACATCACCCGCCTGCCACCTCTTGCGCTGTCCCGCTGCCGCCCCTCCCTCCCTGCACCCCCATCCTCCACCCCCTCATGCTGCCGCTCACCCTCCACCTCAGCCTGGCCTTGGCCCGCACTGCTGCCTATGATGCTGCCTGCCCGTCTTGCCTGGCTCTCCCACCCTGTGTCTGCATGTGTGTGCGTGCGTGTGTGTGTTGTGTGTGGCGCAGGTGCCCCGCGACGTGCCAGGCTACCACGACACCATCCGCCGCCCGCGGTGCCTGGAGCAGATCCAGCGCAGCCTGGCCAGGCGCAAGTATGCCGCCCCCGCAGACCTGCTGGCAGACGTGCAGCTGGTGTGGGACAACTGCCGCGAGGTGGGCTGGCTTGCTGCAGTGGCGTGGGGGGCAGCGGCGGCCGGGATGGAGACGGGACGGGGCGGGGAAGCGGGCGGTTGCGGGCGCTGCGGCCCTGGGTGCACCAGCGATATCTGCCCCCACACGTTTTGCCGTCCACCCGGCCAGTCCCCTGTCCCGCCTGCCTGCCCCTGCAGTACAACGACCCCGAGGCGCCGGTGGTGGGCGAGGCGGCGGCGGCGGAGGCGTTCTGGAAGCAGTGCTGGGCTGCCACCGGCATCTACGTGCCGCCCAGGGAGCCGACGGCGCAGCAGCTGGCGCAGCAGGCGGCGCGCAAGGCGGCGGCCGCCGAGAAGCTGGAGCAGGCGTGGCGGGCCGCGGCGCGCAAGGTGCGCGCTGGGCCCGCTGCCCGCCGCCTGCTGCCTATGGTTTCGACTACGGCCGCGCTGCGCTGCTTCTCCTCTCGCCTGCCCGCCGCCCTCCCCGCCGCCGCCAGCCCACCCCTCTGTGCATGGCTGCCCCCCCCTGCCCTGCCCCCCCTCCCCCCCCCGCTGCAGGCCCTGTTCAGGCTGCAGAAGGTCAAGGAGAGCAGCTGGTTCTGGTCGCCGGTGCGCGCCGAGGACGCCCCCGGCTACCACGACCTCATCCGCCGCCCCATGGACCTGGCCACCATCAGCGACAGGCTGGCGGGCAAGGGGCCGCCCTTCTCCAGCCCCCGCGACTTCCTGGCGCACGTGCAGCTGGTGTGGGACAACTGCCGCGAGGTGGGCTGGCTTGTGTGGTGGGGGAGGCGGGCGGGGGAGCGTCTGGGAGGCGGCTGCCGGGGTGGGGCTGGCTGCTGAGGCAGGCTGGGCGGCATGAGGTTGCCAGGCTGCCTGCGCCACGACAGCAGCGCTGCCGCATCCCCACATATCGGGACAAACCAAGCGACGCCGCCGTGCGCCTGTACCGCCCCGCCTGGCCCCGCCCTGCAGTACAACGGCGAGCAGCACCCCATCACCAAGGATGCGGAGGCCGCGCGCCGCGCCTTTGAGACGCACTGGATGGCGGCGGGGCTGACCCTGGATGGCCAGATGGCGGCGGCGGCGGCGCAGGAGGGCCCCGCGCCGCGTGCGGCCGCCCCCCCGCAGCAGCAGCAGGGATACTACCAGCAGCAGCAGCAGCAGCAGCACCAAGCGCAGGGCTGGCAGCAGCAGGCGGGCGCGGCCGCGCAAGCGGCGTACCGCCCACAGGTGCAGGTACAGCAGGTGGCGCCGCGCCCGGCGGCGGCCTTCTACCCCGAGGCCGCTGCGGCGCCGCCCACCGGCGCCGCCGCCATCCTGGCGGGCGACGCCACGCTGCAGGCGCTGCTGCTGTCGCTGCCGCCCGACAAGCAGCAGCAGGTGCAGGAGCTGCTCAAGGTGCTGCCCGTAGACCAGGTGGCGCAGGTGCGGCAGCTGCTGCAGCAGCTGGCAGGCCAGGCGGCGGCGGCGGCACCGCAGGCGGCGCAGCAGGCGCAGCAGCAGGGCTACTACCAGCAGCAGCAGGCGCAGGCACAGCAGCAGGTGCAGGCGCCATACGGCTACCAGGCGCCGGCGCAGGCGCAGGCGCAGGCGCAGCAGGGCTTTGCCTACCAGCAGCCTGCGCAGCAGGCGCAGCAGGCGCAGCAGGGCTACTACCAGCAGCAGGCGCAGCAGCAGGCCCCGGCCCCGGCACAGCAGTGGGGCGCTGCTGCCCCCGCTCAGGCGCAAGGCGGGGGCGGCTGGCAGCAGCTGCAGCAGCAGCAGGCGGCGCCTGCCGCGCCAGCGCCCCCGCATCCCGCGCAGGCCCCCTCCTGGCAGACCATGGCGCGACAGTTGCTGGAGGGGCTGGCCCGCCTGCCAGCCAGCGCACACTTCCTGCAGCCCCTGCCCAGCTACTATCCGGTGAGCGGCTGCTGGGGGGAGGAGAGGACCTGCGCCGCCAGCCTCGGTCCTGGCTGGGCTGGCTGTGGCTGCCATGCCGAGGCCGCCTGGCCTCCTGCTGCTCGCCATCCGCCTGCCCGCACCAGCCTCCCGCCGCTGATGGCTCAGCCTACCAAGATTTCTGCTGCGTTGCAGGGCATGGAGCCGGGCATGGATCTGAACGCCGTGGCGCAGAAGCTGGCGGCGGGCGCGTACCGGCGGCCGCTGGACATGGCGGCGGATGTGTCGCACACCCTCAACGGCGCCGCCGCCTACCCCGAGGGCAGCGAGGTGCGGCAGGCGGCGCAGCAGGTGCAGGCGATGTTTGAGGGGCTGTGGCGCTCGCTCATGGCCCCCTACTCAAACCTGTGACAGCCGGGCGGCGGCGCTGAGCTGGCGGCGGCGGCCTCTATCCCAAGGGTCTGACGCAACGGCTGGCTCATCCCTAGGGCCGCCCTGCCTTTTGTTGTGTGCTCGACTCTAGTCGAGCGTTTGAAATGTGTGTGTAGCAGACCAGTTGTAAGCAACAGCAACACCACACAGTCGTGTGGCACGGCGCAGCGGAGAGCGCAGCGAGAGTGGTGAGGCAACACTTCCCGGCGAGCGAGGCAGGCGCCGGGGAGCAACAGGCAGGGGGCAGCAGCGGAACAATAGAAACAAGGGTACCTGAAGAGGCGGGAAAAGAAAGAGCAGTACCAGTACCGGCGTGGCAAAAGGAGGAGGGGGTCCGCGGGCGGGCCACTGGCCTATGGCGAATTCAGGCGCAGGCTGGCCTTGCTGCCGCCGCCGTGCTGCACCTTGAGCGGGTGCGCCTCGGTGTTGAGCACCCAGTCGGAGAGGGAGAGGGTGGCGTCTGGGGAGAAGAGGAGGAAGAAGTACTTGAGCGTCTCCGCAAAGAACCAGCTCTGGGACACGTCGTCCGAGTTGGGCGGCACCTGCGTGTGTGTGGGGAAGGGGGGGGGCGGGGGTGTGCAAGGGCGGGAGCTGTGGGTTTTGGTGCGGGGCGGGGAGGACGGCGATGGCAGGATGCTTGGTGCACAGGGCTGGCTGGCGCCGGGGCGGGGCGCTGTTGCGTGTGGAGGTGATGGGCTCGGGCAGGGGCAGGCCAGGCGGCAGCGCGATGCAGGCGCAGGCCCAGGCCCCGGCCGCGGGCGCGCCTGGTCTGCGTCGTGCGCGCCGCTGTACCCTCCCTCCCATCTGCAATACTTCTCTATCGCTCGCCTGCGCATGGGGGGGGAGGCAGCCGCGCAGCGGGTGGGGAAGCCATGTCGGCAGGAGGGAGGGGGGAGGGGCAGGGCCCAGGCAGGCGGGGGCACCCACCCAAGCAGGTGCCCTCCGCCCTGCCCTGCCCTGCAAGCTCTGCCCCGCTCTGCCCTGCTCCTCCCAGCTCCCGCCCTGCTTCCCCCCAGCTCACCACATCTGCCAGCCCATGTCCCGCCACTTGGGGTCCTTGGTGGCGCGCCACATGTAGAAGATGCTCTCAATCACCTGCGGGCAGCCGCGGCCAGCAGGCGCAGGCGCAGGCGGGTCACGCAGCGGGGCACGCCAGGCAGGCGCCGGCAGGCGGGCTGCAGCGGAGCAGCGCCGGGCCACCAGCTGGGCCCGCCACCCGCGCACCTCGGGCCTCTGCCAGTATCTTCCGTCGACTATGGAAATCTGGCCAGTGGCCAGGTCGAAGTTGATGCGCTCAGCGCCTAGCCCTGCGCGGCGCCACGGGTGATGGTGGGGCTGACGTCGAGGCAGGTGATGGCGCAGGGGCAGTCGTGCCCAGGCAAAGACGCACACATGCACAGTGGAGTGTGTGCACACCGGAATGAAGCAAGGAGCCAGGCGGTCCCACACCCCACCACCACCCCATCCGGTACCCCCAAGCAGTACCCACCCGAGGCCGTGGTATTGTACAGCTGGAAGCAGGCCTGCGTCATGTTGGCCGCAAACTGCAGGTACCGCTCCGCCTTGGGCCCCTGTACCGCCCCGCTCATCACCCCCAGCGCCACGCTGCCCGGGTAGAAGCAGCGCAGGTGCTCCAGCACGCTGTCCACCTGCTCGCCCCGCATGTCCCCCGCAAAGCTAAAGGGCCAGCCCGGCGGCGTCACCACCAGCTTCTCCAGAGCCTCGTCCACGCTCGCCTCCCAGCGCCGCCGCCAGTGCTCGTCCTGGCGCCCCCCCAGCACCCAGTACTTTATGAGGTACTCGTAGTACGAGTCGGTACCGGCGCCCACGCCACGCACCCACCCGCTCTCACGCGCAGACTGCCGATCCACGCTCTCCAGCAGTAGCGCCTGCGGGGAGGGGCGAGGGCAGGGGTGTGTGGGCTGGCAGGGCAGTGTCAGGCAGGCGGGGGCAGCGGCAGGCCGGCGAGGGAGGGAGCGGGTGGGGGAGGTGAGCGGAGTCGCGCGGGGCGGCGCAGCGATGCGGCGGGCACCAGGCTGATGAGGCAGGGGCCCCAGCGGGCGCAGCCGCCGCACGTTTTGGTTGGCTCCGTGCAGCGACCTCAGGCCCTTCTCAGCCTGCTGCCGGTACTTTGGGTCTCCCGTGATGCGGCTGACGGTTGAGAACTCCAGAACGTTGGTGCCCATCTCAGCCAGCAGCGTGTGGCCGCCGCCGCCGTCGGGCTGCACGCGCGGCAGGCTCACCGTGTTGCCGATGATGCCTGGGGGGCAGCAGGGGTGGTGGCCGCAGGGGCGCGGGAGTTTGGCTCAGCAGCAGAGGCAGCCGCGGCAGGAGGCCTGGAGCGGCAGCCCTGCTGGCCCCAGCATGCACGGTCGGCGCGAGGCGGGCGGCTGCGGCTGCAGCCGCCCCCGCACCCGTGGGCGCCGAGTCGAACGCGGGCAGCAGGCGGTCGGCCAGGTCTTTTGCCTTCTCCCCCAGCTGGGCGTCCCCGCTGAGGTCGTGCGCCGCGGCCAGGCCTCCCAGGATGCGGATGACCGTCTCGAAGAAGGAGACGGTGGTGGAGTGCTCAAAGTCCAGCTTGCCCACCACCCAGTCCCGCCCCCTGCACACACGTACGTACGGGGCAGCGGTGAAGGGAGGGCTTCGCTGCGGGCGCGCGCAGCACCTGCCTCGGGCTACACAGCTTGGCGCCCTGCAGGCTGCCACCTGTGCAACACCGCAGCGCAGCGCAGCGCACGCGAGGGGCAAGCAGCCCGGGCCGCCTCACTCCTCAAACTCCTTGTGCAGGCCCATGACCTTCAGCGTGGACAGCGCATCCACCATGCTGACCCCCATGCCAGACACGCCGGCGCCGCCCTGCACACCAGAGACGCGCAGAGCATGCAAGGCGGCGGCGGCGGTGCTCGGCACCGGCCCGCGGCCACGCGCTGGGTGTGTGGGCGCCTGCCGCGGCTGCCAGCGTGCCGGCCAACGCGGCCACCCTGCTCCCCCGCCCTTGACCTCCCTCCACCCAGCCGCCATGCCGCTCGGCACTGAGCTGGCCCCGCGCTGCCCAGCGCCAGCAGGGCCCAGCCCAGGGGCGCCGCACCATGATGTCGGTTTTGGCAGACTTGGACTTGGGGTGGATTTCGTCGGCGCCCCAGGCATAGGCCTTGTACCCCGCCCACGCGTGCTGCATGCCCTGGCGTACCGCCTGGGCGCGGTACTGCGCCACGCGCTGCTCGCACCACGAGCGGAACAGCCCGCCGCACTTGCGCTCCGTGGGCGGCACCTCCTGCGCCTCGGGCGTGTCGCTGACGCTCAGCTGCACCTCCAGCACGCCGTGGAACATGTAGGTGCAGAAGAGCAGCCATGTGGCGGCCGCCGCCAGCAACAGGGTCTGCGGCGGCAGGCGCGCGTGCGGGCGCAGCGGGGCGGGTGGGATGGCGGCGGTAGGCGGGGCGGCGGGGAAGCAGGCAGTGCGGACAGCAAGCCAGGCCGCCGTACACATCCCGCTGCCCTGCCAGAGGTCTGGAATTGGCTCCAGCTGGCCCCACAGCACCGCCCTGAGCCCGTGCAGCGAGCAGAAGAGTGGCATACCTGTGCGCTAACCCGACGAATGCCAAGTAACGTTTTCGGGCGCTTGAATACCGCCATATCGGGTTCAAGCGCTTGCAGAGCCGCCCTGTGCCCCTTTGGGGGCGGACCTAGCTGCCTCGCTGCACCGCCTGGCCTGTGTAGCACTAATGATTGCAAGGTTCTTCGTATCAACGTATGAGGCTTCGCGAGTGATGAGCCGCGATGGCGGTTTGCTTGTGTGGCGCCACTTAGCAAGCGCTGCAAACAAGGGCCATTGCACAGCCGGGGGTGAGAATTGAGCCAGCATTGGCACTGTGTTTATCGCCATCTAACCATCCGGGCAGCGCCGGCACCTCGGGGCAGTGGTGGCATGCTTGACTGGCCGGGCCAGCGGACCTCGTGAGCAGCGGTTGAGTCCGAAACGGCATCATGGACCTACAGGTGAGGCCCGAGGCGTCTCGACGCCCCATGCGACACCCCAGTCCACCACCCACCGCCCACCGCCCTGCACTGCCCAGCAGAGCGTGCTGCGGCAGAAGGATGCTGAGCTGGAGCAGAGGGCGGCCTTGCTGCTGAAGACCAAGGTGCGGTGGGTAGGCCGCCCGGGAGGATGGGAGCCCCCTATAGCCTGCCCCCGCCGGCATGAGAAGCCCTGGCTGGGGCGCGATTCTGCCGCAGGCCGCCATTGAGCAGCTGCAAGAGGAGCTGGCGGGCGCACGGCAGGATGTGGACAAATGGCGCCGGGTGAGCCAGGGCACGGCTGCATGCCTCACAGCAGGGCACCCTGCCAGGCCCCGCCCCGCACCCGCCACCCACTTGTGCTCTCTCGCCTGCCGCACACGCAGGCAGCGGACCGGCAGGGCGGCGAGCTGGCGGATGCGCAGCGCCAGGTGCAGCTGCTGGAGGCGGAGGTGGAGGGCAAGGCGAGGGAGGGCAACGCCCTGCTGGCAGACACCCTGGACCTCAAGGCGAGCGCGCCAGCCTGGCAGCCACGCCCGGTGTTGCATTGCAACGCAAGCATCGATGCTTTGGTCTCATGCCCCTCGCTGGCCCATGCTGCCCTGCCCCTCCCATCCACCACCTACCCATCCCCACCCTCCCACCCCCCTCTGCAGCGCCAGCTACAGGAGGCGCAGGATGGGCTGCACAGCGCCGCCGACAGCCACTCCCAGCAGCATGCCGCGCTGGCGAGCAGGGTGCGGGAGGCGGAGCGCGCGCTGGCTGGCTGCCAGGCGGAGACGAAGGCGGAGCGGGAGCAGGCGGCGGCGCTGCAGGCGCTGGTGGTCGAGAAGGAGCGGGGGCTGGGGGAGCAGGCAGGCGCCCTGCAGCGGCTGGACCAGCAGCGCATCAAGGCGGAGGCTGCTGCTGCTGAGCTGGCAGAGCAGCTGGGCGCTGCACAGCGCCAGGGCAGGGAGGCAGCGGCGGTGGCAGAGCAGGCACAGGCTCGAATGGCAGGCAGGGTGCAGCAGCTGGAGGCGCAGCTGGCAGCGGCAGCTGAGGCGCGGCAGCTGGCCCAGCAGGCAGCAGCTGCCGCCAAGGAGGCGGTTGCGGATGAGCAGAAGCGGCACGCGCTGGAGGGCAGTGCGTGGGAGCGGCGCCTGCGGGAGCAGCAGCAGGATGCGGCGGAGCGGCTGCAGAGGCGGGAGGAGGCATGGGCTGGGCAGCGCGAGGCAGCGCAGCGTGAGGCGGCGGCAGCGGCCGAGGAGGCACGCCGCCAGCTGACCAAGCGGCTGTATCTGGCTGAGGGGGAGTGGGCGCGCAAGCTGCAGCATTGCTCGGCGGACTGGGGTGAGCGGGCAGCAGGTGCAATGGTGCAGCAGGCGCCCGCTTCTGCTTGGCGTTGTGGGCAGGCATTGAGCGCTTCCACCTGCTCTGCTCTCTCTGTTGGTTCCCCGCAGCTGCCAAGCTGGATGCAGCAGGCGCCGACTGGCTGCGGCGCAGCGACGCCGACAAGGCGGCCTGGGCGGCGGAGCGGGGCAGGCTGCAGGAGGAGGTGGAGGGCAGGGTGGCGGAGGCGGAGCAGGCCGGAGCGGCGGCTGTGGAGGAGGTGAAGCGGCACTACCGGCGCAGGGTGGCGCTGGCAGAGGCCAAGGCGGCTGCTGCGGCGCAGGCCGCAGACAGGTGGGGCTGGGCTGGCGGCAGCTGCCAGCAGGCGTGCACCTATGTGCCGTGGTTGGCCAGGGCTCAAGGCGTTTGCACCCACCATTTCAGCGTGTTCTGCTGGCCTTCTGGTGCAGGGTCTGGCAGCAGCGGCTGGAGGCTGCGGCCGCCAAGGCGGAGCGCGAGCAGCAGGCAGCCACCGACAGCTGCGCCGCCGCTGCAGCTCAGCGCGAGCAGCAGCTGGCCGCCCAGCTGTCGGCGGCCCAGGAAGCTGCCGCCGCCAAGCTGGCCGAGCAGGACAAGCAGTGGAGCCTGAAGCTGGCAGCCGTGGAGGAGTGGGCCCTGAGGGTGAGGGGCAGCTCAGGGGGTGGTCAGTTGCAGCCGTGGTGGGGCTGCCCTGCTGCGCTGATGATTGAAACTAACCAAGCAGCGGCGACCGCTCCACGGGCCGGCCTCGCTGCAGGATCGGCACGAGCTGGAGCGAAAGTGGGCGGAGAAGCTGCATGCCACGGACAGGGCGGCCAGCGAGGCGCAGGCGGCGCTGCGGAGCCAGCTGGAGGCGCGCCTGGCTGCAGTGACGATGCAGGTGGGCAGCATGGTGCAGAAGGAAGGCAAGGGGGAGCGCAAGAGAGGTGGGTGCACTCAATTTGTTGAGCGCTGCCTTCTTGCGCTGCTGAGCGCAAGCAACAGTGACGGCCTCCCGCCATGCGCTGCACGCTTTTAGCCAGGCCGCCATCCAGGCCCTGCGGCCTGCCCTCATCCCCGCCTGTCCGCCGGCCCCGCTGCCGCAGCCGAGCTGCTGCGCCGCATGGCTGAGCTGGAGGCGAGCGGCGAGGGGGAGCGGGAGCGGCGGCGGGAGGTGGAGGCGGCGCTGCAGGAGGCCTCCTCCATCTTCAAGCGGGAGCTGGCGGACAAGAGCCAGCAGCTGGACCTGCTGCGCCAAGAGATCAGGTGGGGAGGCGGGCAGCTGGCCATGCTTTCTAGTGCTTGGTGTGTGCATGTGCATGTGCAGCGCGGACAGGCAGGGTCATGGGGAGGCGGTTTGGCAGGCCAGGGGGTCTGAGTGGGTGCATGCACTTGCAGGTTGGCACTTTCACGACTGCCTCATGCCCCAACTTGTGCAGGCACCTGCGCAGCTGGGCTGGCGGGGATGCCAGCGCCGTGGCCGCCCTCCCCACCTCGGTCAGCACTCTCAACAGCATGGCCGGGCTGGCCGCGGCGGCGACTTTGGCCACGCTGAGCTCCCCGCGATGCTCCAGCCCCTGCGCCGCCGCATCCCCCACCGTGCTTCGCAGCTGGCGGGCGTGCTGCAGCGGCAGCCCTGCACACGTGCACTGCTTCAGCGCGCCCGCCTCCCCGGCTCACGACGCCGCCGCGGCAGCCGCCACGGCCGCCAGGGCGGTGGAGGCAGAGGTGAAAGCGCTGAGGTCTGCGCGGCGGGCATACCAGCGCGCCGCTCTGGGGCAGCATGACCTCTGCGCCAACGTGGCACGCACCATCAACGATGCTCTGAGGAGGGACGATGCAGCGTCCGCCGCTGCCTCACCGCAACCAATGCCGTCCCGCCCGCACTCTGCTGGAAGCGCCGGCATTCTGGCGGTGCGCAGGCGCAAGTGGCAGCGGGACCTGGCTGAGGAGCTGCGGGGCCTCTGCTGAGGTGTCGGCGAGGTGAAAGTGACCAGGGGACGGGGACACCAGGTGATGACAGAGGGCCCTATATGTGGGTGGCCCATCGACTTGAGACACATCTGCCATTATGATCGAACATGGGGTTGAATTGGGTGGATGTAATATCTTGTAACTCGGCAATGGGTGCAAGTGCCAGCGCATCCACAGCGGCGGCGCGCTGATGTGGCCGCCGGCCGCTTGCTTGCCAACAGCTGCGCATCCATCGCATCGCCAACCTATGCTGATATGGCGATCTGGATCATGCACCATGACATGTAAAGCAGGTGGAGGGCTGTGGCCCTTCCTTTGGCTGCTCCTGACGCTGTGTGCCGGGCTGCGGCTCCCGATAGCGCACGCTTTGAAAGAGTCTCCAGGGCCCGGAAAGTGTCATCCCGAGTGCAGCAAGTATGGGTGAGTGGGCGCCGCTTGTGCAACTCCCGTCTTCTGTTCCTACTGCTTCCTGACGCCTCTTCCTGCTGGTGCCGATCCCTCTGAGCAGCAATTGCGGCGAGGACGGGATGTGCAGGTGCGCCGACAGCACCAAGAGGTGCCTGCCGCCCGGGTTGGTTGGCGGCAGGCACTGGCAGGGGCGCTCTGCCGCACGCCTGCCTGTGGCTGTCTGCATCCATCAAAGTAAAGCTGGCATCACGTGCCCATGATAGTGTCCTGGCAACTTGTGCAACTTGGCTGCCTTTTCACCGCTCCCATGCAGGTGCCCGTTTGGTCGGATCGGCGAGGGCTGCGAGATCAACTTTCTGAGCCCCTGCCAGTTGGGGCCCGACCTTCCAGGTGAGCTGCAACTTTTGTGCTGTGTCGATTTCCCTGCGATGCATGTTGACCGAGGAAGTTTCTCCTTTGCGCGCTCCTGTGACCCTCTGTATGTCCCCAGCTTACTGCGGCGAGATGAACCCGCACTCGTGCGAGTGCTTCCGGCGATGCAGCCAGTTCTTCTGCGGCAACACCTCGGCTGGGGGGCAGATCTGCGACGGCTACAACGTTGCCCAGAGCCGCCGCTGCTTTCATCGCGAGGGCGTGGACCCCGACCAGCAGTACTCGGCGTTCCCCGAGGAGGATGAGAAGGGCATCAAGTACCTGGCAGGCTGGCTGGCGGGGGTTGGGAAGGAGGTCGATCGCAGGCAAGGCGCGGCATACGCGCTGATGGCGGCTGTGGTGGTGTGCCCGCCTGGCTCCCTGCCTCGCCTGCATCCCAGAGTGCGTGTGCCAGCCCTGCCACTGCTGCGCGACATGCTACTGCTGCACATCATTGCTGCAGTATCTCTTCCCTGACTTGCTGTGCAGTGCGGTGATAGCGGGGGCGCTAGATGGAAACTACCGCGCTGCCCCCCTGTCCAAGTGCCCCGACCGCTGTAACAACCGAGGCATGTGTGGACACTACAACGAGAACCCTCCGAGATACTACTGCAGCTGCTATGCCAGCTACTCGGTAGGCCACCGCGAGGAGCGCCATGCCGGCAAGGCATGAGCGGCCACTGTTGACTGCTCGAGCCCTGCTTGTGCAGGGCAACAGCTGCGAGCTGTCGACAAACCGGTGTTACCTTCAGTGCAACGGTGGGCTGCTTGCTGGCCTGCCAGCAACCTAGCGTGCCTACCGTTCAGTGGTCTGGCCAGCAGCTGAAATGCACGCATGCAACCAAGCCATGCGCAGCCATCCATCAGCCAGCGAAACGCGGCGTCCCTGCTCGTGCAGGGCGCGGCACATGCACCGACAGCTTCTGCAAGTGCGAGCCGCCCTACTTCAGCATTGGCTGCTCACGGAGCAAGGTGTACCCTGCCAACTACTCTCGCCCCAGCCCTGTCAAATTCAAGATCTACATGCGAGTGCAGCTGCGAGCCTGCTGCTCTTCCCGCTCGTGATGCCGCCCGGTGGCAGCGCCCTGATTGGTGTTGCTCCTAAAGGCATGCCCCGTCCACCTCCCTGTGCCCTGGCCTGCAACCCAGGCTGTGTGCCCACAATCCAGGCTTGCGCGGCCCCCACCAGCCCCCTGCAGGTATGAGCTGAACACGCGGGATGCGTATGACAAGGTGCCCTGGGCGGGGTGGCAGAAGTTCGATGAGAATTACATTGCCTACCAGCAGGTGGGACCCGGGGAGTTGCTGGGAAGTGGAGCATGGCAGGAGGCCGGTACATGGCTGAAGGGTGGGATGGTGTGAGGCAAGGCAGCCCTGCTTCCCTGTGCAGTTTTTGGAGCAGTTCCTGCTGAGCCCTGTGCGCACGGAGGACCCCTCGGAGGCCAACCTGTTCTACATCCCCATGCTGCTGTACGGCTACTCAGGCACGCCTGGGGGGCCTTCCCGGGCACCCCAAGTTGATTCTTTGTGTGGACAGCGCAGATGCCTGGCCTGTGTGCCGTGGGCACCTGCGGCTCAGGGATGGCGGCATGCATACACCATTCCGGGCACTCTCACCCCTTCACCTGCGGGCTGCTCTGCAGGCAACATGATGCCAGGGCAAGCCCACATCGACCTCGTGCTGGACCAGATTGCCCACAAGTGGCCCTACTGGAATCGCACCCGCGGACGGGACCACTTCTATGTGGGTGGCTGATCACAGCTGGTGTGGCCAAGGGCATTCTAGCTCGGCCGGCACCGCACACGGCAGCAGCCTGCCCGGCTGCCGTACCTTGCACTGATGCTGCTGTATAGCTGGGCCTGCCTGCTGTGGGTCCCTGGGTGCATGCGTGCAGTGGGCTCCTGCCGACCGCGGTGCCTGCTACCACAAGGGGCTGGCTGAGCAGGCCATCAAGGTGTCGCACTTTGGGCTGCACGCCACCAACAACTCGATTGACTTGGGTGACCTGTACAGCCACAACCAAATGAGCCCAGGTGCGCAGTCCAGGCTGCCCGGGCCTGGCCAGCAGAGTGCTGCGGTGGTTTGCCCGTGCTGGCACCAGATGCTGCACAGACACTGCGCCAGCCCCGCCCTGACCAATGGCCCTGCCAAGCTGTTCCTTGTCGTGCAGACCACGGCTGCTACCACCCGCTGAGAGATGTGGTGGCGCCGCCATTTGAGAAGCTCGCCGCCAGCTGGCTGAACACCACCCTGCGCCTCGGGCTGGACGGCAACATCAAGGGCAAGAACGCGTAAGCGCCAGGAGGCATGCCTGCCTGCCAGCTGCGCTGCCACATGCCTCTGCCTCTGCTGGTCCTCTGCTCTGCTGCCGGCAGCCATCATACATGCGACCAAGGCACTTTTGGATTGCGCGGCCACCGCTTTGTGTGCCCTGCTGATTCTCCTATTGCCCCGCAGCACGTTTTACTTCTCTGGCAATGTGCAAGGCATAAACCTGATGTACAGCGGCGGCACACGCCAGAAGCTGCAGGCGCTGATCAAGCAGTGGGATGATCCTGAGTTTGGGGTGAGCGTTGCGACGGGCTGCGTCAACTCGGAGCATTGGCACGCCCCTTGATGCAGGCCACCGTGTGCACAGGGCTTGGAGCACCGGCCATGCTCAGGGAGGGGCCTGCAACACCTGTGACACATGTGCCCGCCCGCAGTTTGTCGAGGGGAGGCTGCAGGAGGGCGCGTACGAGCAGCGGATACGCGAGTCCAGGTTCTGCCTGGCACCTTATGGTCACGGCTACGGCATGCGTCTGGGCCAGTGCATCTTTGCCGGCTCCATCCCCGTCATAGTCCAGGTGAAACTCTGGCAGCTGTCGGTTTCTGGGGGATTTGTGGTGCTGCTCAGCACTCGACCACCTTCTGCTGCCTGCTTGGCCACAGGAGCATGTGTTCCAGCCCTTGGAGGATGTGCTGCCATATGAGGCGTTCAGCATCCGCCTGACCAACGACGACCTGCCTCAGCTGCGTGAGATTCTGCGGGGCATCACGGAGGCGCAGTACCGGGAGCTGATGACGGGGCTGCTGCGGTACAGCCTGGCCCTCAGCTGGGACACGTCTCTAGGCGGCACCGCGTTTGACTACACAATCAGCGCGCTGCGGCGGCGCTACATGAACCTGAAATCACTTCACTACTGATCTGAATGCACGCTGTTACCTGTCTCTACTGTCCTGATTCCTTCTGATTCTTTTTCCATTGGCAACATGGAGCTCCCAGACGCTGCTCACGACACTGCGCCGTGCCGGCGCCAGCACAGCGGGCGGCGCACATCTGAGATCTGCTGGGCTTCTCGCCGTAAAGCGTCTTCCCTTGCCCAGGACATTTCAGGTTGACCACTCTCCGGTCCGCCAACAGCAGCGGGAACCCTGGTCCATCCCTGCGCGAGGCGGAGACTGGGGAGTGGCGCGCGGGCTGGTTGGGTAGCACACGGCGCTGGGAAAGGGGGCGATGCAGACCGACGACCAGCAGCGCAAGCTACTGGAGCTGGCGGCGCAGCGCCTGCTGCAGGCGGCCCACTCCCGCAAGGTCGCCTCCAGCTCCTGTGAGTGTGGGGTGCAGTGGTGGGTGCCCTCCAGGCGTGCCTGTGGCACATCTGGGATGGTCATTGTTCCACGCTGTTTGCCCCGCCTCACTCCACCTGTATGCCGCCATGGAGTGCTGCCCGCCCTGCCTGGTTGACCGCCCGTCCCGTTGCCGCCACCCGCCCCGCCCTGCTTGCATGGACCGCCTCCCTGCAGATGACTTTGTGAAGATCAAGGTGCGGCTGGGCAGCCAGCTGGAGCACTACTACATCCTCTCCCGCTTCCTCCTCTCACGCATGCTCACAGTCATCACCCTGCCGCAGCACAAGGTGCGCAGCGGTAACCAGTTGTCCCCAGCTGAGCGGCGGCGCTGATGGGCGGCCGCCCCCACGGCTCATCATACACTCTCAGGCTCAGTGGTGGTTGTACCCAACCCCTGCCACCCCTTCCTTCCCTGCCAGTAGGCTGTGCGTGTGGCCCTGGATGTGAAGAAGCACCTGGTGGATCACAATCGCCTGGACATCACGCAGGTGGGTGCCCCGCCATCGGCCCTCGCAGCCGAGCTCACATCACCACCACCACCACCACCACCACACCACCACCGGCCACACACGTGCACATGTGTCGCACCAGCCCCGCCACACACACCACCCCTGCCCCGCCCGCAGGAGGAGCTGGAGGAGGTGCTGTTTGCGCTGCTGCGCCAGCGAGGGTACGGCGACGAGTATGTGCGGCGCTACCAGATGGTCACCCGCTTCTTCCAGCAGAAGCGCCCCCTCATCATCCTCATCGCCGGATCCGCGTGCACAGGCGCGCCTGGTGGCGGGCGTGACACCTGCTGTGATCGCGGCACCAAGGGCGCTGGCTGCTGCTGCATGCCGCCTGGTGCTGTGCATGCATGCCTGCGGGCCAGCATAGCTAGCGAGGCCAACCTTAGCCTGCCAACATGGCTGCAGGCAAGTCCAGCCTGGCGCAGCAGCTGGCCTCCCGCCTCAACCTGCCCAACGTGCTGCAGACAGACGTGCTTTATGAGGTGGGGGGGGGCGAGGGGGGCAGCCCGCTGTCATGCTGCGTGCTGTGCTGTGGTGGCTGCTGCCCCCTTCATGCCGTGCCCAGGACCCTGGAACTCCCCAACCCACCCCTGGTCCTTACTGTGCTCTGTTTGGGTTCGGTTGTCGCACCTTCCCCTGGCTCACAGCTGCTGCGGGGCAGCGGCGCCGGCGACCTGCCCGCCGAGCCGCTGTGGCGGCGGCCGCTGGCCCCCGGCGCCAGCCTGGTGCCTGAGTTCCAGCGCGAGTGCGCCACCATCCGCCGCGCGCTGGATGGAGACCTGTGCAAGGTGGGGCACGGCTCGGGGAGGCTCTGCGGCCGGCCGTCACCTGGCCATGGCGGCCGTGCTGTTCAGGGGCAGCCGTCGGCACATGTGGCATCCACTCAACCCCGCCTGCTCCCTGCCCCTCCCCCTGCCCGCCCCAACACACCCCCCCGCACTCCCCCCCTCCCGCAGTGCATCCGCGACGGCAAGTCCATCATCATTGAGGGCCTCCACATTGACCCCGGCCTCTTCCTGCTGGAGTTTGGGGACCCGCGCGGCGGCGGCAGCCCCGTGACGCAGCCGGAGCCGGGAGGGGCGCAGCAGGATGAAGGAGGCGACCTGGTGGGGCTGCCGGGGGCGTTGCAGGGGGCAGCGGGGCAGCCGGCGGGCCTGCAGGTGCGCTGGGAGCACAGCATGCATCATGCTGTGATTGCCTTCCTGCACGCTGCTGCTGTGTGCTGATAGTTTTTCAACTCCGCACGCTGTGCTGTGCTGCGCAGGCGGCTGATGCCGAGCCGCCTGGCGCTGCTAGCTCTCCTGCTGAGGGGCTTGCAGGGGGCGGCGATGCTCCCATGGCTACCGCTGCCTCCGATCCAGGATCTGCAGCAGGCACCTCGCAGCAGACGGCTGCAGCTGCCGCGGGGCCTGCGGCGGCATGGGGCCCGGCGAGCGCCGTGCGTCGCACCGCCAGCTTTGGAGACGCGGTGCAGCGGCTCAGCGACAGCAGCCTGCACCGCCTGCAGTCGCCCTGGAGGGAACATGGCATCGGGTCCCTGCCGCGGCCGCGCTCTGCCAGGGTGCACAGCCTGGAGCGTGGGCAGGCCGTGTTCATGCTACAGAGCCTGGACCCAGGTGGCAGCGAGGGTGGCGAGGGTGACGGCACGGGGCCGCCGCCGCCGCTGCCCAGCCCCCGCCCTGCCATCAGCCTGCCGCCCGTGATAGAGCACACCCCGCAGCACTGGCCCCGGCGCAGCGCCTCCCTGCCGCCCTCCGAGCGCCACCGCAGCAGTCCGGGCGGCGTCAGCCAGCAGACGGTGCCGGAGGAGGCGCCGGTTGTCCCTCCAGAGGAGGCACACACCTCTGCCCAGGCCAGCAGCCGGCAGGCCAGCGGAGCCGCGGTTGCCGGCACTAGCGGCAGCAGCACGGTGCAGGACGAGGCGCCCGGCACGTCTGCAGCTGTCGCTGCAGCAGCGGCGGAGCAGCGGCCGCAGCATGCCAGCGTGGCGGTGGCGGATGCCACGGCTGCTGCCGCGGCTGGCATGGGCCCCGTGTTTGTGCCCATCTGTCTGTCCATTCGGGATGAGGAGTATGAAGGCATGCTACAGGAGTGGCTGACGCACCAGCAGCGGGCCATTGGCAGCGGCGACACGGCGCCGGAAGGCCCTGCTGGGTCGGAAGCAGACGCCGAGGCGGCGCGGCGCCTGCGTGCGCTGCAGGCGCACCTGCGGCAGTACGGCGCCACCGGTGTGCCTGTAGTGGAGTTCAACACCAGCGACATGGGGCAGGCCCTGGACGCCATGCATGCCTACGTGTTGAGCTGCATAGAGCTGGCCCTCAACTGACTTGCGCCTGCTCACTGTAAGCTTTGGTGGCGAGTTTGTTGGCGCGGACTCGGCGGCAGCCGCATGGCGGTGCCAGCTGGGCAGTCGGCTGCCATTGAAACAGCTGCGCGTTGCAACCAGCTGAACCTTTCCGACTCCAGTGCATCATACCACTTGCAGTTGGCTGCCAAAGGAAGGGAGAGGCGTGATGGCGGCTGCCGACCTCACCGCTCCCTTCCTCCGCCACGACACGGTGAGCACGCTTGATCTCTTGATCCGAAGCAAGGCGTGGTGCCTGCGGTTACGACCTGCCAGCTAACGACCTGCGGGTTGGAGCGCAGTCTCCCGGCCCAAACGCCACCCCTGCTGGGACCCGGCTGGGCCGTCCATGTAAACATCATCCAGCGCGCCAGGCGGGCGAGCGCTGCTGCCTGCATATCGTCGGTGGCGGCGGGTGCCGCCCGTAGCGTTCCAGCCATTTGCTGTTGCTGAGGCCTATGCGCCCCCTGCTGCGTGCAGTATGGCGTGCTTGGCATGGGACCGCTCTCAGTGGGAGAAAAGATACGGCTAGGTTTGCTGGCAGTGCTGGTGAGCTTGTAATGAGGAGCTGGGCCGCCTCAGAACCGCGCTTGCACCGGCGCACCGCTGTGGGTGAAGGGCCGCCGTGAGTTGGCCACTCGCCCAATCGAGCTGCTGCCACTCTGCTTGCAGGTGATGCCCATCAAGTTGATAGGAGCCTTGGGCAGCGTGCTGACCTTCTGGCTTTGCTGCCGGTTGTGCGCCCTGCTGCCCGCGAGGGTGGGCACCAACGCAATTGCACAGCTCGGCTTGGTGGCCTGCCGCGTCTGCCTGTGGTGGCTGGGCTTCTGGCGCGTGACCTGGATCAAAGTGGGGCAGCAGGGCGACGTCGGCAGCGGCGGCAAGGGCAGCGACAGCACCAGCAAGGCACCGCCCGTGGGCATCGTCAGCAACCACATGAGCTATTGCGACATCCTGCTGCACATGAGCCACTCCTTCCCCTCCTTTGTGGCGCGGGCGCAGACGCGGAACCAGCCCATCATCGGCATCATCAGGTAGGCACGGGTGCAGGAGGGCGGGCAAGGCGCCAGCCGTGCATTGGCCACGCCTTGGCGGCAGTTTCCAGGCCACCACCCCACAACCCAAAGCCTCCTGACATTCGCCCCCTCCCTTCTCCCCTGCTCTCCCCTGCCTTTGTCTTGCCCCGCCCCGCAGCCAGCTGATGGGCTGCCTGTACGTCGACCGCGACGCCTCTGCCAAGGGCGACCCCGACAAGCCGCGCGTGTCGGACCTGGTGCGGCAGCGCATGCAGGAGATGGCGGCGGGGCGCCTGCCGCACGCCCGCCCGCTGCTGCTGTTCCCCGAGGGCACCACCACCAACGGCCGCTACCTGCTGCCCTTCAAGACGGGAGCCTTCCTGGCGGGGGAGGCGCTGCAGCCGGTGGTCATCCGGTATGAGGAGGTGAGGGGGCTGGGGTGGTGGGGGCGTTGGGGCACTCACCTTGGGGGGGGGGGGCTCAGGGAGTTGCGTGTGGATGGCGGCTTGTTGGTCGCAGGGGCCTCGCAGCGAGCGTGCGGCTGCGGTGGCTGGCAGCGCCCTGATTGGCTGCTGACCTTCTGCCCGGTCTGACAAATTGCAGGGCCGGTTTTCGCCCTGCTGGGAGATGATACCTGCGGCCCGCCACCTGTTCCTCATGCTCTGCAACCCGCTGCACTCGGTCACCTGCTTTGAGCTGCCGGTGTACCACCCGTCAGAGGCGGAGCGCGAGGACCCCAAGCTCTACGCCCACAACGTCCGCAAGCAGATGGTGGGTGCTCGGGCTTGGGCGCATGGGCGTCTTGGGAGGGCTGCAGGTTACGCTTGCAAATAGTCTAAGCGATCACCGGCCGACATTGCCGCTCCGCCAAGCGCTCCCCTCGTTCCTCCTCGTTCGCCGCAGATGGACTTTGCGGGGTTGCAGCCCACGCAGGCAACGTACGCCTTCAAGATGGAGTACATGAAGCGGCTCAAGGCGGAGCATGGCTTGGCATGAAACGAATCCTGAAATTTCGAGGGCCTCCTGGTGCTGAGCCGCCCTCTTTGCTGCTGTCCATCGTCCCGTTTGCTCCCTATCCTTGCTCCTGCTACAGTATTTTTGACTTGCCCCGGCATGCCCCGGCCATTTTTGACTTGAATTGTGACTTGTGGACCCCTGATTCACCTCATAGAGGTTGGATAGGCAGTTTGCATCGGCTCTGAGCTTCTGCTTGCAGCGGTGGGGCCATACGGCGGTACGCCGCCAGGTCAGCTGCCGTGTTCTGTAGCCGCTGCTGGCGGCGGCATTGGATCACATTTCACGCTGCAGCGGAAGAACCCAGGGTGCGGATGGCCGACAGGGAGACCACGAAGAAGCGGCCGCTCGACGAAGCCCGCCAAACCCACGAGCAGGGCCCTGGTGACAAGCTAGCCACCTTAGCTGGCCAGATTGAGTTCTTTGAGGAGCTCGCAGGAGAGGAAGGCCCGCCACCCGACGCAAAGAAGCCTGCCAAAGTCCACAGCCTCACGCAGAACACCACCCACCGCAAGATCAGGTGAGGGCCCTATGATTCGAGATCAAGGAAGTCGGGAGGACGCCGAATGCCGAGTGCCACCGCCCGTGCCGCCACTGCCCTTGCCGCCACAATGGCCTTTGTAGGGTCGGGCCGGAGCACCAGGCCGTGCTGCCGCCCCTGCCAGCTCTCAAGAAGTGAGGAGGCAGGCGGGTGACGGGCAGGCCCGAGAAGCCGGCAGCAGGCAGCGGCTGCGCCGCCCCAGGAGCTCCGCTGCCCGCCTCTTCTGGCCGCGGGCGGCGTGCAGCGGGGCCCGCCCCGGCAGGCGGCCGCCATGTTTTCCGGCTCGACGCAGGCGGTGCGCCGCTTCAGCCTGCTGCTGCTGGAGGAGGGGGAGCTGTATGTGGAGGACTTTGTGGCCGCCGCCCGCTGGCCGCCTGCCGTGGCGGGCAACTGGCAGCGCCTGCCGCGCCTGGCGGGCCAGCTGCGCCTGTGCACCAAGTCTCTGTTCTTCGAACCGGACGATGTGCGGGTTCCCATCGTGAGGTGAGGTGGGGCCCCGCCCGCCTTCTAGGTACCTGGCACGGGCACCTGGGGGTGGGGCCTGCGCGGCACCGGTGCTGCTGCGCCGCACGGTGCTGCCCCTTCGCACTCTGGCTGCCCACCGTGTGCGGCGCGAGCCGACAGCCCGCCCGCCTGCCTGCCTGTCCTGCTCATTCCTCCCTGCCTCCTGCAGGCTGCCTTTCCAGTACGTGGAGGGCATGGAGGGGTCGGGGGAGCGACGCCTGCTGGTGGCCGCCACTCGCGTCATCAAGATGCGGGCTAATGCCGCCGACGCGCCGTACGTCGTGGAGCGGGCGGGGCCGGGGGAGGCGCACCCGGCGGCGCTGCACTGGGAGTTTGAGCTGAGCTACACGCGGCTGGAGGGGGTGGTGCCGCTGGCGCAGCGCATGATGGTGGCGTCGCGCCTGCCGGCGGCGGAGCAGGAGGAGTTCCTGCAGGTGTGTGTGCCTGTGGGTGGGTGTGCGTGTGGGTGTGGGTGTTGTGTGTGATGTTGGTGGGGTCGGGGTCTGATGTTGGTGAGGGGGATGTGCAGGGCGTGTGTGGGTAGAGAGCACAGCTACCAGGGCTGCAGCAGGGCTGGCAACGAGCTGGGCTGGACCTGCAGCGGAGCGCCCCTCCCTAGTCACCACCCCCCCCCTCACCCCCGCCCCCTCCTGGCCCCCTCCCGCCGCGAGCAGGCCACCATGGCGGCGGCCGAGGCTGGCCTGCGCTTCGACCTGGGCGGCCTGCGGTCCCCGGCGGAGCGCATCGAGGCGGAGCTGCCCGCCACGCTGCTGAGCCAGGGGGCGCTGGTGAGGGAGCCGGGCAGGCTGCTCATCACCCACCAGCGTCTCTACTTCCAGGTGCGGTGTGCGGGTGCAGGGGGTGCGGGTGCAGGTGGGCGGCGACCTCGGCGGGGCAGCGGGCTGCTGGGCGGGAGCCAGGTGCTCCCCGCCGGCCCAGGGGTGTGTGCGTGTGTGTGTTAGTGAGAGGGCAGAGCAGCTGCCTGCCCGCCTCCGCAGCCCCAGAGGCCATGCACCTGAGCTTGCCCTTTGCCTGGTTGGTCCGCAGCCGCTGCACAACATCGGCGGCGACGCGGCGGTGCGCTCGCACCCGCTGGCGGCGGTGGCGGCGGCGGCTCGGCGGCGCAGCGCGCTGCGGGACCTGGCACTGGAGGTGGGGTCTGGGCTGGGGCGGGGGCTGGGGCTGTGGGGAGAGCAGCGGGGGCAAGATTCGCACAGCTGTGAGCTTACTTGCCGAGCTCCTTGCGTCTTTCTTGGCGCTCCTCTATGCCCTTTGTGCAGGTGTTTTTTGCCGAGGAGGGGCAGGCCCAGCAGCAGCAGCTGGCCACCCAGCCCTTCTGGGGCGGCGCCTCCGCCCTGTTTGCCTTTGCCAGCCGCGAGGAGCGGGAGCGGGCGGTGGCGGCGCTGACTGCGCAGGCGGCGCTGGGCACGGCGCTGCCGGGGGGCAAGCAAGCCGCCGCCGCCTGCACCGCCATTCTAGAGGTGAGGCTGTGGGAGTCGGGTGGCCATGCCTGCCTGCCGTCTGCTGCTGTCTGCTGCCTCCCCATTCCCTGCTCCTGCCTTCTCTACCTCTAAAGGTCACTCCTGCCACATCCAGGCACCTCCCTTGCCACCCCCCACACCCACGCCCATGCTGCCCTCCTCCCTCCCTCCTGCCGCCAGGCCGACCCCTCCTGGCTCAGCCGCGTGACGGCCGCCTGGCAGCGCGGCCTGCTCTCCAACCTCGACTACCTGCTCTTCCTCAACCTCGCCTCGGGCAGGAGCTTCTCAGACCTGTCGCAGGTGGGGCGCGCAGCACAGCAAGCACCTGCTGCCCCTCTGCCACCCTCCCGCCGCCACCCTGCAGCAGGCCCAGCGCATGCTGCCTCCGACCTTGCCCACCCAACTGGGGGACCCGCGCATGCTGGCTTCCACCTGTCTGTTGCGTCCTGACCCCCTCCAGCACCCTGCTCACTGGCTCGTCACCCCGATACTGCGGTACTGCCTGCAGTATCCCATCTTCCCCTGGATCCTGGCCGACTACTCCTCCCCCTCCCTGGACCTGGCTGACCCCGCCACCTTCCGAGACCTGTCCCGCCCCGTGGGGGCGCTCAACCCGCGGCGCCTGGCCATGCTGCGCGAGCGCTACGCTGACATGGCCGGCTTCTCGCCGGAGCCGCCCTTCCTGTACGGCTCCCACTACAGCACGCCCGGTGGGTGGGTTGTGTGGGGTAGTCACAGGTAGCGGGTTGGGGTGAGTGGGGGCGTGGTGGCCACGCGTGAGTGTGTGCATGTAGGGCTGTACTGAAGGAGCAGCGCCATTCTGTGCTCACCCAACGGCCCCCCGCTTCTTTCCCGACCTCCGCCCCCCGCCCCCCACCGCAGGCTTCACCATGTTCTGGCTGGTGCGCGCGGCGCCCGCCCACATGCTGCGCCTGCAGAACGGCCGCTTCGACGCGCCCGACCGCCTGTTCTGCTCGGTGCGGGATGCGTGGGAGGGGGTCACCTCCTCCAACCCCGCAGACGTCAAGGAGCTCATTCCGGAGTTCTTCCTCAGGTGCGGGTGGGTGTGTGGGTGTGTGGTTTGGGTAGGAACAAGGTGGAAAGGTGGGCGAGGTGAGCGGAGGGGACTCTGGGGTGCAGGCAAGGAGGATCCCAGGGTGTGCCAGGGTCCAGGGTCGCTGGTGTGGGGTTGGCAGGTGCCCGCCCATCTCCCAGCCTGCCCCCACCTTAGCTCTCCCCCCCACATGCACACCCTCAACTGCAGGCACGACTTCCTGCTCAACCTGCGCGGCCTGGGCCTGGGCACGCGCCAGAGCGGGCGCCCCGTGGGCGACGTCGAGCTGCCGCCGTGGGCCGCCGACGCGCGCCACTTCCAGGCGGCGCACCGCGCCGCCCTGGAGGCCCCCTTTGTGTCGGCCAACCTGAACCACTGGGTGGACCTGGTGTTTGGGTTCAAGCAGCAGGGGGAGGCGGCGGTGGAGGCAGACAACGTGTTCCGCCACACGGCATACGAAGGGGCGGTGGACATCGAGGCGGTGGCCGACCGCACCGAGCGGCTGGCGCTGGAGACACAGATCGCGGAGTTTGGGCAGTGCCCCCGCCAGCTGTTCCGCCAGAAGCACCCGCAACGACTGGTATGCCCCGCGGCGGAGGTGCCGCCGCCTGGCGGCGCGGCGGCGCAGCCCGCGGCCGGCGCCATGGGCGGCGGCAGCGGCCAGGCGCTGGCGCTCGTCTCCGCCATCCTGGCGCTTGTGTCTGCCAGCCAGGGGCCTGGGGAGAGCCCACGGGTGGAGGTGCCGCCGCAGCTGGCGGAACTAGATGTGCTCGCGGCACGGCTGCGGCAGCAGGCAGCAGACGCGGCTGCAGCGGCAGCTGCGGCAGCGGCCGTGGCAGCTGCGGATGGCCCCGATGCACCCGGGTCGGCAGGTGAGCCATCGGGGTCGCTCCTGCATTGCTGGCGCTGCTTGCGTCACCCTGTTGGTGCTAAGAAGAAGCCTGTGGTGGTGGCGTTCCCTTGCTTGCAGCAGCCCAGCTTGCTGCCGGCAGCTCTGGCGGCATGTCTGTGCGCTCAGAGAGCGGCAACTCGCTGAGCAAGCAGCCGGGCGCGCCGGCAGCAGCCGGTAGCCGCCTGCGGTCGCTGGGAGCGTGGGCTGCCGAGCGCAAGCAGGCGGTGGGGGAGCGGCTGGCAGGCTCCGTGGGCGCGGTGCGCGAGGCGGCAGCCGCCGCGCTGGCGGGCCCGCCGGCTGGCGGCGGCGCGGTTAGCGCCAGCGGCAGCAGCACCAGCAGGCTGCAGAGCCTGTTCGCTCGCAAGGGCTCTACCTCCGCCTCCAGCTCTACGGCTGATGTGGCGGCGGCGGCAGCAGATGGGCCAGCCGGCGCAGGCAGCCCGCAGCAGCAGGGCAGGTCGCCGCCTCAGTCGCCTGGGCTGGTCGGCAGCATCGGCGACAGGCTATCCTCTTTCACGCTGAAAGGCAAGCCGCCTGGCAGCCCTTTGCCCACTGATGCGGGTTCCGCTGCAGCAGCGACCGATGGCGGCGTGGGCGGCAGCACCCCTCGCCCGGCGGCTGCTGTCGCAGGGGCACCAGAAGCCGCGGCGGCCCTGGGCAGCCCGCTGTGGAAGTTCTCTGGCCGAGCCACCCGGCCCGCCCCGGGGCAGCAGCCTGGATTAGCAGACGGCAGCAGCGACGAGGAGGTGGAGGCGGCAGCCCGGCAGCAGGAGCACCAGCCGCCGCAGTCTCCCCGGCCGGGGCCGCCCTGCGGCAGCCCTGCGACACCGCCCGGCCCCGCCAGCCCCGCCAGCCCCGCCGCCAGCCTGCTGGAGGCGCAGCGGCAGCGCATGCTGCGCGCCGGGGCGGGCGGCGGCAGCGCGGCGGGCGGCGGCGGCAGCCCCGGTCGCCCCACCGGCTGGTGCGGTCCTGGGCTGCGTGACAGGCTGGTGCCCACGCGCGTGCTGGTGGCTGGCAGCGAGTCCATCAACGGATGCGCGCTGGCGGTGGTGGCGGGCGCGCAGCACGTCTACTCGGCCAGCCACAGCGGGCAGCTGCGGGTGCACCAGCTGTCCTCTGGGGAGCAGGTGCGGGGTGGGGGCATGCTGTTGCGCGTGCGTGGCACGCCATGCTGTGCTGCCGCCTGCGCCGGCCCCACGCCCGTGGCCCCGCCCCTGGCCCTGCCCCCTGTACCGCACTCGCGCTGCCCCCGCCCGCATGGCACCCTCCCTCCCACCC